GGAAAACTGCATCTCGGAGGTGGCACTGATTCTATCTCAGGAACTGCACCCTAGGAGACAGGGCTTCCAGCACGACTGAATTTATTTAAAAGAGAAAAAAAAAAAAAGAAGAAAACACCACTGACAACTGTGTTTCTTGCGCCACAGGCAAACGTATGCACTTCTCTCCACTTCTACCAGATTTAAAACCAGAATGGGAACCTCTCAAAGAGCCMGAGCAGCCGGCAACACAGGAACGGAGCAAGCTGGCTGCTCCGGACTCTCATACGAAGCACTTGTACAGCTCAGAAGAGGTCAGCGACTTATTGGGACCCTTATAGGGCTGCTGCTCCTCAACACTGGTGCCTTCGCCACGCTCTGCTGCCCAACACACTGGATGGCRGCAGACGGGGCCAGGGAGAACTGCTGCTTCCCTCATTTTCAACAGCAGCCCTCCCCAAACCGCTTRGGTACTTCCCTTTGCGAAGCAAAACATGCTGCAAGGCCATAAATAAAAAGCAGCAGGGAATTTCAGCGCTGCTCGGCACTATCAGTGCATGTTTGGGCACAGGCAAGCGCCCATTGAAGTCAGCAGAAGTTTGGGAAGACAAAACACCTCCCACGCAAAGGGCAGACAGAGGAAGCAGCAAGAGCCGCGGGGCAGATAAGCTGCCTGTCAGAACAGGCTCGGACTGTCCTGGCAGGAAGACGTTCTCCAATGAGAGGGAAAGCTATTTGGGGAATGAATAGCGAAGCTTCATGTTCAAGACCAGCTTCCCGAAGAGCTCCCGAGCTTCCTGCCAAATGGACGCAGGGCCAAGACACGCAGGAGCCTGTGTGACTCCAGCGCAGGATCGTTCATTGAAAGGCAGCAGAGGGAACGGGAGCGGAGCCTGGAGCCAGCGGGGCACGAGGGGAACACGTGGAGGGTGGCGGATGGCAGAGCCCATGGGGAGACGGAGGCTGACACGGAGCAGCCCCCAGACACCACACAAGCKAAATGAAGAAGCTCAATGGTGTCCTGCTCTGCTCGGGAGGATCCTACCTGGGCTCTCGGCTTCTCCCTAGCGCCGCATTTTCACCCACACCCTGTCAATGAGCAGGCTCCCACCGAGGCAGCAGTCTGCTCCACCACGCTTTGTGCGAGGTTCATTGCTAACAGTTCGCCCTGGAGAAGGAGAAAAAAGGCAAAACCACAAGCAAATCAGAGCCAGGCCTCACCAAAAAACCCAAAAAGGCAACACAGATCAAGAGCAGAGTAAACTTCATAAAAGCAAAAGCCCAAATCACAAAGAATCTGCCCTTGAGGCAGTGATGGGAGATGAGAAGAGCGTCTGAACGCAGAGGTTTTCAGAATACCAAAAATAAAGCAGTGAGAAATCCAGCAAATGGCTTTACATAAGCCAGATGTTTCTCTGCGGAAAGCAAGCAGAAAAATAAATAAATCTSTCTGGATTCCTCTTCAACCCACTCATACCTGATCTCCTCCCCAGCTTAGGCCCTGCTCAGTTCTTAAGGCCCTGTGTGCTCTTGAATACCACATGCCACCAAGCAGCAAGGACACATCGTCCTGAGTTCCYCACAGCAGGATGGGTCTCCGCTTCCTATGTGTCCCAGTGCTCCTGGGATAGAGCCGGGATTGCAGGATGCTGCAAGGGGACCCACATCTCCTCAGGAGCAGCTCCCACATCAACTGTCAACACCTCGAGTGGCAGAAAGCAGGCAGAGGAATCAAACAAGGGTGATGCAGGTGATGAAATAAAACCAAATAGCACTTGTTCATCACAATGGGGGAATGAAGGGTGGAAGGAAGAGGTCCATCTGGGCGAGAGACCCATCTTGGAATGGGTGGAGAAGGGAGCCCCGGCCAACACGGCTCTAGGGCGACGGAGCGCCAGGGCGGCGCAGTCGGCACCTGCTCGCRACTCCTTCCCAAGCCATAATTAACGCCCAGCCCTCGGCGCCGCCATCCCAGCCCAACCGCAGCTTCCTTCCTGACCCAGCTCCCAGCGCGAAAACAGCTCCGAGACGCGGCCTGGCAGGGGACGCGGCGCCGTCGGGAGCAGCCCGGAGGCATCGGAAACTCGCGGCAGCTCCTTGCAGCCCACACGGCCACTGGGGACGGCGCTGCCGCCAAGGACACACGAGCGGGTGCAGCTGCCATGGCCACTACCATGGTGGCCTTTCCACGGGCTCTGTGCAAGCCAAGYGTGCCCACACATCAGCACTTGGGGCGTGTTGGAGGGGGAAAGGTGTGCAACGGGAGCCACGGCAAGGCGGAGGGAAGCAAGGCACAACTCATGAGATGCCTCTTTGGTGCAGCGAGTCTCTGCCACATGGCTGGCGGCAGCCGCCATGTCAGGGCAGGCGCCGGGGGGCAACAAAATGGCTGCTGCTCAGCACCCTGTGAGGGAGCAGCCCCAGGCCTGGCCTGGCGATTCCCCGGAGCCGCCACCACCATTTCACAGCCATTTCCCAGACTGGAGCCTGCCCTGGCYCTCCCCCGCGGCCCCTGCACATTCCCCTCAGCTGGGCCCTCACGCCATGCTGCATTTAACCAGGCCTTGGGAAGGGCAAGCGGCCCGAGATGAGGGACAAACGCCGCTTGCACCCGCCGCCGAGCGGCCCAGAGCACGGCTATTGCCGCCTGTGCCAGCTGCCTGTAAACACAGGAACGTGTTGATTAGCTGCACTATTTAGATGCCTGTGCGATGCTGCAAATAGCCCGGTTTGCTCCCACGGAGGATGAAAAAGGGAAAATAACAACAACCCGCAAATACCCTGGTTACCCTGGAGATGCGAGCACCCGCATCGGGGCGATGGCGCGAGGAGGCTGCGCGGGGCGACGCAGTGGGAGGCGAGCCCAGAGCTGCCGACGCGCCTCGCGGCACGCTCAAAACACGCTTGGTGCCACACCGGGCAACCAGGGCCTAGGAGAAGGGCAAGGTTAGACYGAAGAGAGGGGGAAAAAGGCTCCAGACAGCCCCAAATCCCTTCCCTTGAGCTCCTGTCCTACGCTGGAATCACTGGGAACACTCAGGAGCTACATGGACTTTCCAKCAGGGAATTGCAGAGGTTTAACTGTGCCCATGTTAAGAATTTATTGTAGCTTTGCTGTGACTCGAAACTGAGGCAGGAACCCTTTGAAAGCAACAAGCTACAGTCCCTCCAACTCTGAAATTAGAGAGGTCCAAGACCATCTGTGGAGAAAAAAAAAGCAGCTCCCGCTTGTGTTACCYGAGGGCTCGTGGCACCACAAGTGAAAACCCCATGGCAGCAGAGCTCTCCACCGCAGCAGGAGAKTCCCCATCCACCACAGAGCACCTCACAAGTGGCTTGTCTGGAACCAAGGGGTTAACCAAGGAACGTGTGGGAAGCAGGATCTCCTTGCCAAATTCCACCGTGCTCAACAAAACCAGCTTGCTCACTCACAGCCTGTGCCTCTGGGGTGCCCACCACTGAAAGGGACTGTAGACAGGATCCTCTTTAGACATATTTACATATACATATGATCTCTCTAGGACTGCTCCTTTGCTGATGTCTGCTCTTGCCTCCTCTCTGAATTAATCTGGCAGGACAGGAGGTCTCCAAAGACCCTCCAAGTGCAAGATACACTTCAAACACTGATGACAGCTAAGGCAAAGAGGCAGGTTGCTCTCTTCCATCAAAGCCAAGAAGCTTGAAGGAAGATCCTTCATGGTCCTGGAGGAGATAGCACCTCCTGCACACTTGTCAGACAACCTGTCTCCTTTCTCCAGCTGTGGGACTTCTGAACACAGCAAGGATATTCACAAGAGACTCCCACACGAGAGCTGCCTGCTGAGGAAGAACCCTGCACMCCAGGGCTTCCACCTAGGCCTTATTTGCCTCAAAAGCTACTCTACCACGTAAATAAAGGGAAAAACAAACAAACAAAACTTCTTTTCCCATTGTTCCAGGTGCATTTTTATTTGTTGAGCTGCAAACAGGCCTCTAAATCAAAATATAGCTTCCCGTCATGCAGTTCAGGGGCAGACAAACACATCCTGGCTCTCACACACAGTCCCTCATCTCCTGCTCCAGTCTTGGACTAGCTGTCCTACACTGTGATAGATCCAACACCTTTCCATCAGAGCTCTTCCTGGAATAAAACTAGCAGTCCTCCTTGCCCAGGCTGTGGGATTTCAAAGCCAAAAATACACACACATACGCACAGCCTTAGAGGAATCGATCAAAAAATGTGAAAGGYAGTCACTTAATTTCTCACCATATGGATTAAAACCAGGGGGAGGAAAACAGGGTCACCATGAAGACCTCAGAACATATTTAGTGTTTTTTTTCAACAGGGTTAGCTCAGTCCTGCACACGTGGGATCAGAGGGGACGTGGCCACAGCTCCACTAGTTGAGGTGACCCAGGCCTTACCCCAAAACAGCCCGAGGAGCCTGGCAAGGTTGCTCTCAAACTGCTGGTGGCCAAGGAGGGTGTCACAAAGGAGCCACACAAAGACCCCTGGCTTGGCCCATTGGCTCGATGTCCTCCCGCTCTGTGGGAGAAGACACTGGTGGCCCTGTGAGGCCACAACCTGCCCCTGTCCTACCCAAAGGAGGCAGCTACTGCAGCAATAGAGACCTTGGTAGGCAGCAGCAGGGGCTTTAGTCTGTCCCTCTTTGGAGCTGAGGATCCAAGGTGGCCCCACACTCAAGCTGTTGTTCATTCCCAGGTTTACCCAATACCCCTCCTCACCCCTCAGCTCCCCCTCTCCATTTCAGCTCAGGTCTTAAAAATTCAAACACCAAACACTGCGCTCGAACACTGCCCAGCAAACGGCGCACGCGATCCCAGAAGAACGGCAATCGACCCTAAAAACGAGGGGAAAAACGCCGCGGGGATAAGAAACCAGCGTGCCCTTATAYGGACAGAGGCCAGACAAGCATCCGACAAACACTGTTAAAGAAAAAATAATATTTATTTGCAATATAAACAAAGTCCCAATATTGGATCAGTATACGTAGGGTCACTAATTTTCCTTCATAACTCAGAAAGCAGAACCACTCCTCACTGACAAGCGCTCAGTTGTACTATCCAGAAGACGCATCTCTTTGTTTTTTGTTTTCTTTTTTTAAATTTTAAAGAAGAAAGACCACTAACAGCACAGGAAGCCTTTACAAACCAGCGTAGCTGTAATGCAATACAGATGCACTGTCAAAAAAATCCCTGAAAAAATAAATTCCTCCGTGAGGTAAGATGCAATTATTCTCAATTTGCTCACTCGCAGCCATACTTACACCCACGCTCCCTTCCAATGACCCACGATCCAAACCTTGTTGCAAACGAAAACCAACAATGAACAAACAAACCAACAAAACCAGAGAAAAGCTCATTCCAACATTCTGGTAATATCTTTAACAAAAAGAACAGTTTCAGGATGTGACAGCGTCAAACATTCCTCTAGAAGACTTTTTTTTATTATTATTTTTTCTCCTTTTTTTGAAAAAAGTACAAAAAAATGGATATTTTAGAAAAAATCCGTGGCTTTTTTTTTTTTTCTTTCAGTTATATGAGAGTTAAAGTGGACAGGGAGGGGGGGAGAAAGGAGGGACTACATTGCAGCCAATAAAGAAATCTCCAAATCCGTTCTGCCCTCCTCCCATAAATTATTCCCACTTCCTCCCCCTCCCAGCTCGGTACAAGGTGTTTGCCAAACACTAGCCAGAAATATAAACAAGTCTTCTCAGAATAGAAGGCACGGCATAAAGTTATTTGAAAGAGGAAAAAGGAAAAAGAAATTAGAACCTCTGTCGAAAGCTCCAATCATCTCAGATTTTGCCAGTTAATATATATATATATTTATATATATGTATATAAAAATTCTGTTACAACGCTCTTGTTGTTATTTCCACATCTCTCTAACGCCTCGCACGCGCCRAGCGTGGCGAGTTAGGCCTGGCCCACTGCACAATCCTCGCTCCGCTCCGGGATCGCTCCATCTTTTCCCCTTCTCCGTGATCCCCCGCCCCACGCGCACACACATGGGAAAGAACCGCGCGTGCAAGAGAGACGCCAACACCACAAATACTTTCTTTGCTTCGGAAGCTGGAATGATTTCAGGCCAGCTGGATGCCATTAAGACCGAGCGCTCGGCTCGGACGCGCTCCTACCAACTCCGGAGGACACGAGAGTTTTACCTCTGGCAACGGCACCCGCTGCTTTTGGCAGGGGTGGCCTTAGGAAAACGCTTGTGGCTTAGTCACCTTGGCTGAATCAGTGCAGAGGTTGTGATTGTGAGTGCAGGCGTGGTGAAGGGGTGGCCTCTAAAGCCCCACTGGCCTTCACACGTAACAAAGCTTCCTACCAGATGCTAACAACAACAGCAGCAGCATGTATCTCTCTCTCTGAAGTACCCAGTAATACGCCAGGACATACCAAGGCTTCACAAAGTGTGCAAAATGCATTTGGTCAATATAAACATTTGATTWAAAAAAATAATAATAAATGATCGAACGAGAAACAGAATAAAATACTGGTTTTGCAACCTCGTCTGTACAAACAGTCAGGAACTTACATATTTTAAAAGAGTTTGAACCCAAAGCTCGAGTAAGATTTATCTTTTTTTTTTTTTTTAAATCAAAAAGGAAAAAAAAAAAAAGAAGTAAACTTGGGTTTTAAAACAGTCTCGGGCCAACACGTTTTGTTGAAGGTTTCCAAGTGCATGAATCTCCTGGGTTTCCACAGCAAGCTAACCCGCGGCAGCTCCTGCCGCGCGCGCGTCCTCGGACGGTCCCGGTGCACCTAGGAAAGCGGTTATTGCCGGTCACAGCTGCGCCCAGGGCGCCGTAACATCGCCCCTGTTAAATCACCCCCTGCCCAAAGACCACCTCTCCGCTCTGATCCCAACCAGGATGCTCAGGAACGGCATCAGCCTCCTTAAAGCAGCAATCGAGGCCGCTCTGCTCAGAGAAGCGAGTTCTTCCAGAGCTGCCTGGCCACGCGGATGCTTTTGGAGTAGTTGAAATGCTCAAGAGAAGCGACGCGATGCTCGAGGTCCCCACCACGCTCCGGGCCCTTCATGTGGACTCCAGGGTGTTCAGCTGGAACAGGTTGTGGTTGGTGGGGGTGCTGAAGTAGAGCTGTTCGCCGGGCGAGCGGTTGTCGCACGGGCTGTTGAGTCCCAGAGTCCTCTCAAAGTCCAGCAGCTGGCCCATGAAGTTGAAGTTCGGGGAGATGTTGGATTTTTTCCTCTTCACAAAGTCATAGGCGTCGTTCAGGGAGAGGTTGAGTTTTTGCATCAAGTAGGCAACAGTTACCGTTACGGAGCGGCTGATGCCGGCGAGGCAGTGAACCAGGATCCCACACTTCTTGGAACGGGCCTCATCTGCAAGAGCACAAGGGGAAGGGGGAGTCTGTTATCCCATACCAAAAACGCGGGGCTCGGGAGCGGGGCCAGGCGGCAGCTGCACGTTTACAGCACCAGGAYGACTGCCAGAACCGGACGCGCTGCTCCCAGCGACACCACGGAGCGTCCTCCGACATCACATCCCTCCCCTAGGGGGTCCAGAGAGATYCCCGGTGTGCCGGGAAAGCCGCGCATCCCTATCCTGTAGGGAAAGGCCGAGCATCCCGCGCTTCAGCTTCCCAAAAAGCACTCGCCAGGGCTATCGACAGCTCCCTGCCTGGGAATCGCTCCTGCCCTACGCACAGACAAGGGCCACTGGCAAGGGGCAGCGCCACAGCCCGCAATGATCATCGAGCAGCACGGCAGCACGCGAGGGGACAGCCCAGCGCCCCGCAGGCTGCTCCCCTCCGCTTCTCCTGCCTTTTCCCTCCCAGACGGTATCCAGATCCCCGTTTAACAGAGATTTACGGGAACTTCCCGTATTGTGAAGCTGCCYTTTAAACTCAAAAGCAGCACTTCACTCCAAGCAAACATTTGTGCTGGGGCAGAAGAGCCGATGAATGGGCGCAGCGGAGAGGAATGCAGCCCGCGCCACAAAACCCTCCCACGACAACAGCCCCGAGGCCTCCCCTGCCCGAATCTCTCTCCTGAAAGGAGAAATTCCGAGCGCGGCCACAGCAGGTTTTCCTGCCCAGCCTTCCATCCCACCGCAGGCAAGGCTTTCCATACAATGGACAATCACCCGCCGGCTTGCACAGCCCTCCCCGCTCAACGTTTTACTGAGATTTTTTTGTTGTCTTTCCTCTGCCCTGCGCCACGTCCCGGGTGTTTGGTTTTGCAGTGAGGTAATGCTCCCGTTCCCGTGGTTAAAGGGGAAGCAGGAGCACCGTGCGGATGGCTCCCCGAGGCACACGCGGGCAGGGACCCCGGACCTGCCCCGGGATGTTTAATGACACTCTGTGAGCACAGGCTGGGCACTCAAAGGGTCCCTGCTGCCACGTGGAAGCAGAGGCTTCCAGCAAAAACCATCTTATTAGAGCAAAAAAAGAAAAAAAGGAGAAAAAAGAGCACGCGAGGACTGGACTCTGAGGGCTRAAAAACAGCCATTTCAGCCCTTAAATTAAAAACAAAACAGTAGTGAGTGAATACAGCTGGTTGAGAAACCGTGGGCAGCAAAGAAGCCTCCAAATCTGCTGCAGAGACTTCAGTGTGGAAGCAAGAGGTCCCTTCTCCTTCACCCGCACCCTTCGTCCCCATAAACCAGAACTGATGTGGCTAATGGTGATCACCCACTTCCAGTCAGCCTAACAGACACTTCCCACAAAACAGGAGCCAATTTCCAGGTTACTGCTAGTCTGGGGTGAAAAGAAAAATAAATATATATATATATATATATTATATATTTGCCTTCCTGCTCCCTCCAAAGCCATTCAGAGCTGCCTCCAGGGTTGTCGGCACAGCGATTTTTCCAGCTTGGCTCCACAATGTAATTATAATCACTAACTCAGTGTGTTGATACTTACCTTACAAGTATCCATACAAGGAGCTAGTTACACCAGCGTGTTAGTTACTGCAGGATCGTAACCAGACTAGCGGATTCCCTCGGGAAAAGCACCCCCCTTTCCCAGATTTTTCCACAGCTGGGGCTAAGGAGCTGCTGGCACCAGTTGCACTAACACAATTCCCATCAACGCTCGTTTCTCTGAGGAAAGCAAGCATCAAAGCCCTCCAGGGCTGCTTCACGCTAGTGAAAATTCCCCAAAAAGGGCAAAATGTGGTGGTGGTGAGCGGGGCATCGCCACAATTCTCGGGTGACTAGACCGAGATACTGCAAGGAAGCGGAATTTTGGGAACAGGAGGATTTTAGACCTGTGCTTCAAAGAGGGCACCTCAGGAACAGGGCACAGACAGGTCACACGAGGGCCCGGCCACCGCTCGGGAAGCGGCTCGCTGCATTCCCAAGCAGTGAGCCCGGAAAGGGACGTTCTGCCAAGCACCTACCGATGAAAGCGATGGCCTCGGGAAAGAACTGCGAGAGGTTCTGACTCCAGTGATCCGAGATGGGGATCTGCTTGTACTTGAACTCCCCGTCGTGCTCGAACATGTTGGGCAGGTTGGGAGTCACGTTCAGGATGTACTTAATGCCGTATTTGCCCAGGACGTCCAAGTTGGTGGAATCTTTGGCGCAGCCCAGGTACAGGTAAGGTAGGATCTGCACTGGAAAAGCRGGCTGATTGTTGGGAATGGGGCTGCCGTCCGACTCGGTGGCGCTGCTGGGTTCCCGGTCGGATTCGCCGTCGGAGCAGTCGGAGCTTATCCGCAGCCCGCCCAGGCCCAGCACGGACGCCGGGGGGGAGTTGCTGGGCGAGGAGCTGTCGAGGTTGGTCTCGCAATGCTCGGAATATTCCGTCTGAAACTTGTTAAAGCCACCTGGAAAGGGGGAGAGCAGAGAGGGAGGGAGGGAGGCAGAAAGGAAGATGTTTTATCTCAAAATGGAGCCTCTTTTGGTTTTCAAATCCTTCTACCTGAAGATATGCGCATGCTRCTGAGTGTTTGCCAGCAGGAAGGTGGTATCCATCTCCCAAGATATCCCTGTGAGAGGCATCTCCTTGCGCTTCCAGAGGGAATATTGCTATGGAGGGACCTTGCGGTGGGGTTCGACACCACCTGTGAGGGACAAGGGCCAAACTACAAGCAGGGGATGAGAGGGAAACGTGCAAAAATAAAACCCACGTTAGGAGACACTCAGTGCCGCCTCATTGGGGTTCCCAAAACACAAGAGCCAGCTTGCCACCTAAGCAAAAAACGGGGAAAAAACCAGGCATCCGCCTCCAAAGACCAACACAGCAGCTACATATCCARCACAACGGCTAAAATCCCATCAAAACCAGGCACCTTCCAAGGGGATGGAGCCGCGGGGAGCTGCCCTCAGCCCGGGTTATGGCTACGGGGGTCCCTGTCTCTGCAGGCTCTGCCTGGGCCGCGGCGAGGCCGGGAGCGGGATGCGGGGAGGCCGGGAGCGGCTCCCGCCGCCGCGCAGCCATTTTGGGAGGCGAACGGGACGGGCGGCCGCGGGAGCGGGAGCCGGGGGGGCCCCGGGGCCTGGCAGAGCCATCGGCGCCGCGGTGGCTGCTGCAAAACCAGCCCCAAACGGGAGCCCTTCGGCCCCGCGAGAGAGGCGGGCGCGGGCCCAGAA